TCAACTAGAAGCAAAATGGTGACCTTGTAAGATTATGCAGAGAGCACATGAATTAGATATTTATGGGAGAATTAAATTTAAAAAAAAATTCTTTGAGGGTGTTACTTGCTAGGTAAGATGTAGAGTATCTAAGAAATTAAGATGAGAACATATAATTAGACTAAATGAAAAATATATCTCTGCATAACACCATATACAGAAGCATCTTCCTTGGTCCACCTAAACATGTCACTCGCATCTTATCAAATAGCTTATCATCTTCCTTGTACTTTGATACTGTAATGCCTCTAGATGGAAAATGGAGATAGAAAATTTTTCCAGCTGAAACATTCATCGGCATTATCGTTGGCGGATTCTGATTCCCAAAGCAGCTGATGAGTGGTTGAGTTCTAAGAATACAAGATCGAGGGGCCATGATGAAGACGTCAAATTGTAACACAAAAAGAGAGCTTAGACAGAGAGAGTGAGTTCTCGAATTCACAAAAGAGAAAGACGATAGGTAAGGTGAGTATGTATGTTATTATAGAGGCAGAGAAGAGGTGAGATTGTTTGCCAAACAAGAAATTGATATTGATACAGAGAAATGGTAGTACAAAAAAGATTTGTAATCAACTAAATGCGCCAAGCATCCTCACAGAAAACGGCATCGTTTGTCAAGTGAAAGAATGAGGCACGGGGATCATACTGAATTTTCTTAAAAACTAATTAGTCAACTCGCTGTTATATTACAGACTGAAAGTAATATTAGATTCCTATTTGGCTTTTTAGCCAGAAAGCTGATAGGATTGTACTAGCTTTGTTCCTCTTTTACTTTGAAGCTGGCTGCTTAGTTGAAAATGATATTAAAATAAGACTTGTATTTGAGCATCGCACCTACAACAGAGCCACCCTATACACAAAACAACCCTTATTGCTTTTGAATTCAAAGGATATAGTTCTATTTTATCCTTCCAGTCTTGCTAACACATGAAAACATTAGAGGACCTACCACAAGAAGAATCTGCAATGACAAGAAGATGCTTTGCTCCTTCGTGTGATGTTTAATAAGGCATATAATAAAAAATTGTTACAAAAAAACTAACAATTTTTTAGACCATATATTATGCTTAACAATTAGTTTTTGGGATAGGATTTTTCAAATAACTTAAGTACCTATAAATTGGTATCAGAACCAGATTGTTGACAATTATATATTTTATTATACTCAATGTGGGACTTGGCATCCTATGCTATTAAATCCTCATCAATTGGCTCAAAATCCTTTATGGATAGCCTTTTTTGATACCGTTGACAATTTCAATCTGATACCAATTGATGTGTATTAAAGTGGGATAAGAAACCTTATTTTAAAAGCTAGCTATTGAGGTGAAAGAACCAATTTGTTTAATCTGGAACTTATTATATCATGCAAATATAAATAATTCCACCATAGCACCACACTAAACAAAAGAAAATAGCTAAAAATGAGAAAGATATCATATATATATAGAACTTGAAAGATGTGAATGATATTTTTTACTACTAAAGTCAGCGAAAGAGAACTACGTTGTAAGGAAATGGGAGAGAGAATTAGAGCAATTGTAGATCATTTGTTTGTTCATAACTTTTTGTTCTACTGAGCTTTTTTTCTTAGACAAAATAAAATAATTAGTTTATCTTATTTTATAGTAACGAAAAATTCTTGGGTAAACCAGATGTGCCATGTAAATTATGATCTAACGAATACACAAATGACAAGTGCAGCTCATGGGTCCCACCACTGTTATCTTTTTCTAGCCTGTGTATCCCACTCTCCTTTTTCCCCTCAACTCTCCCTCTCCTTTAATTTTTTTTACTGTTGCTGGTCCCAAAAAAAATCTTTTTTACTGTTCACATACCCTTCTTTCTTATTATCTCCCTTCAAAATATTTAATTTACATTCATCTAGTTCAATTTATTATCTCTACACCCAAAAATAAGATTTTAATAAATAATAAAATTATAAATTATAATAAATATATTAAAATTTATCAAAATAAATCTATATATAGTACAAAGGCATATGAATGGTACAAATTTTAAAAATTAAATATTTAATAAAATTTTATTATTCATAAAATTTTCTTTTAGGTTAATAATATGTGAGATAAATGATTTTATTCTCTCTTGCTCATATAATTTCAATATTATTATACATAATATATTATTTAATCTATATGAGATATATATTATGTATTTATGTGTATGTATTTAAAAAATAATTTGGCCTATCCCACACAACGCCAACAATTAAAAAAAAAATAAAACAACTAACTAAATAGTTATTTTGATCATTCTTTTTTCATATGACCAGATCGTTTTTTGGTGGAGGAAAAAATTGAAGATGAATGCAAGTGGGGAGAGAATGGGAAAGAGGGATGTGTGATGTGCAATGTTCAAAAAATCAAAAATCGATAAATCGGCTAGTAGTCTGGCATGATTTAGTAACAAAACCGGAGAAAGATCTAATTGGAATGAACCGGATTAGACAGTTGCAACCCAGCTACAACCCAGTTAATCCGCCGAGTGAGGAGGGTTATCCGGTTACAACTTTTTTCAGATATGGATGATTCTTTTTGGGAAAAAAAATGAAAGAATGAAAGGCAGAAAAGAAACTCCATGACTTGCCAGATTGCCTTTCCGGTCAGTCTTCCTCTTTCAAGACCCAACTCTTCTGCGTCAAACTCATTTGAGCACTATCTCTTCCTCTTCGAAAATGCAACTGGTGCTGCTTATGGAAGTTCAGCCGGAAGAGGAGAGAAGAAAGAGACCCACGCAAAGAAGAAGAGAGGAAGGAGTGAGAAAAGAAAGAGTGAAAGAGTAGCATGCTGCTGTCATATTCATGTCATATGAATCGATGGTAGCTCGCGTGAAGGTGCAGGGACGAGGAGAGAGGTTAAGAAGTAAAAGTAAAATTTGAAAAAATACAGGAAATTTTTTTTTTTTAATTTTTTTTTTTAATGAGTCATGTGAAGAGGTAGAATAAAAAAATTAAAAAAAGGAAGGAATTAATTAAATATATAGACACTTGTGATGGGATATCCATTTAAAGATTAAATATTATTTTTTTTATAATTAAATATGAATAAACTTATATATTTTAATTAAATAATATTATTTGAATTATTATCGGTTCGATTATGATTTGAGCTCAATTTAACCCACTAATGTTTGAATCACTAGAAAGAGAAAGAGTTGGATATCATAAGGAGAGAGAGAGAAAGAGTTGGATGAGCAGGGCGCGTGGAAAAACAAAAGTGTGCAGTAGCGGGACCCATGAGTTATAACTTCTCATTTTTATGCTGGTCAGACCATATGTTACATGGCACTTCTGGTTCACTCAAAAATTTCTCTATAGTAACAGAAATATACATCTACTTATTTAACTTTTGACTTTTATATTTTAAAAAGAATTAATTATTTAATCCTCACATTTTCGGCGAATTCGCCGCTCAGTCCTATTCGCGACTCGGTCTCATGGTTTACTCCGTCTTTCCCACCCGTCCTTACCAAAGCATTGAACAGTGAGTCAGTGACCAGGCACACCACAACCAAAATGTCGCTCGTCGCCTGGTCAAAAAAAAAAAAAAATGTTGCTCTTCGCTTATCCCTCATCTTTGCTTTCAGCAGCAACGCATTTCCATTCATCAATACATCCAAGTCTCATATTATCTCTAATCCTAATTATAAGAATTAGTTAACTACTCCTCCGATCCTAAATGTAAGACCTTATACATTCTTGTATAAGGTTCTTACATTTAGGACCGGAGGAGTAATTCGAAAAGATTAAAGAAAGAAATTTAGTTAATTATTTGTAATAAATAGGCGTTGTCTTTTCTAAAATACTTTTACTAATCAAGTGTATCGATTAGAATTACCATTGTTAGAAGGACTATCTTGGAAAAAAAATATAAATATTAGAGACAAAATGAATTGAGGTTTTATATTTAGGACTAAAATAAAAATTAAATAAAATTTTACATTAAGAACCGAAAGTAGTATTCATTTATCTTCAAAATCCATTCTTATTCTCAGAAATTAAACATCCCATTAATTTCTGAGAATAAGAATGGGTTTCAGAGTTAACGAATACGAGACTCGGATGTATTGATGAATGGAAATGCGTTGCTGCTGAAGGCGAAGAGGAGAGATAAGTGAGGAGCGACATTTTGGTGTACGTAGTCACTGAGTCACTGTTCAATATTTTGGGTAAAACAGAGTAAGTAAACTACAAGGACAGGGTCACGATGAGTTAAATTATAAGGATTGAGTTGCAAGCTAAAAGTATAAGAATCAAATAATTAATTTTTTTTTTATATTTTATCACTTTGAGTGATTGCAACACAAAAAAAAGAAAAAGCAAGAGAATCTTATTGTGATCTCATACTATAATTATTATATTAAAGTCACATCTCATATTAATAGTACCTTTTATTTTTCGGTTATATTATATTAAATTAAAAAATAAGTTATTTATAATTTATAAATAGTACCTTTTATTTTTTATTTAAAGATCATTTTTGTTTAGGAAGCATTTTTTAAGAAGCAATGTTTATTAGGAATTTTTTTTTTTTTTACTCAATGTCTCTCAAAATATTCAAAAAACGAGTTACCCATACACTAGTTGACCGCTAATACTGCCACATGAAGTTATGTCACGAATTATTTTGTAAGATAATCATATTTTGATCTCGTACTATAAATAATATATTAAATTCACATTTCAGATATATCAGATTATGTGAAATAATTTCATACTTCTATTTTACCCCTGCTTCTTAATAACAATGTTTGACCTAATAGTGATAATAATTTTTTAAAAAATAATAAAAATAAACATTGTAGTTCTATAAAAAAAACAAACAAGAAGAAGAATGAAAACCAGTATGGGCTTGCTTTAGTGAAGTAGAAACAGTTATGTTCCTCGCCGAAGACCATATTTGAGCATGCCTGTTGGTAGAAATCATAGTTTCTAAGGTAACTTTTTTGTTGAAGCAAAAAGCTTTAATAAATATAATGATTCATTATGGATAGTTCCTCCCCAATGACTTTCTGTACAACAATTGTTCATGTTACTACAGATTATTTCCTACAAACAAAATCTACTAATAAACACTATCTTAATAAAAAGAGAGACCATAATACCAATAACTTTATTTACCATTTGATTCCCAACACATTTATAATTATATAAACCACTAGAGAAGAAGAACCATATCTCAAGCTTGAATGTTGAAATAAACCGTATAAGGTTCATCTCTCAAGGAAAATAATGGCTCCAAAAGGAAATTTCTATTTGCCCCTTTAGCCACAAAGCTGATAGGATTGTATTGGCTTAGTCCCTCTTTTGCTTTGAAACTGGCTGCTTGGTTGAAAATAATATTAAAATCAGATTTACATTTGAGCATCACACCTGCACGAAAGCCCCCGCTATACACAAAGCAACCCTTATTGTTTTTGGATTCAAAGGATATGGTTTCATTTTGTCCATCCAATCCTGCTACCACAAGAAAGACATTAGAGGACCCACCATGGGAAGAATCTGCAATGACAAGAGGATGTTCTGTTCCTTGGTGCATCAAGAGCATCCCAGGAAGATCAAATGGTTCTAACATCACCAATTTGCCAATTGCGTCTCGCAAGGTTGAATGCTCTGAAGAAGATTCCATGAAGATGAGTCTAAAGGTCGCATGAAGAGCAGATTCTGTGCCAGGTTCAGGTAATTTTTCCATCGTAAGAGATTGATTTGAGTTTGTTAAAACAAGGGTCGGTTCATGAAAGTCTTGGAAAAAAGTTGCTAGTTGAGTGTTGTAACTTGAAGGGACTGGAATAATCCAATCAGTAATAGATGATGCATTTGACCCAACTTTGATGTCCCAATCACCAGTGGTATGACCAACAAGAAGATAAGGACCATAAAGAATTGCTTGTATTGAAGCATATTCTGACCTGTCATCTGGATTTAATTCAAAAGGAACTATCAATATTGCTTAACAAACTTATTCTTACACGTATATATGCGATATAGCAATGAGTGCCACACATGGATTACCACCTTTTATAGCCTCTGTTCTAAGAGTAATGGGCAATTGAAGGGTCAGCTTGTCACTGGAACTCCACTTTCGTGTGACTGACAAGAAGTTTCCTACAAGTCCACAAATTAAAATTTTACTTTCAACCTTCAGCCTTTTCAGGAGTTGAATTCACTGTATACATATACGAACTTCTGGCCTTCTAGACTGAAAATAGTTGCATTTTGGCTCCCTAGTCTAAATTTAAATAATCGTCTTTTTAGCTTTCATTTTTGCTGACATGTGGATGGCATGCAGAATAACATCTCAGCAAGATGGAGCCTCCCCAATAATAGACGTAACTTTGGTTTTTTTTTGGAGGGGGGGGGGGGGGAGGACTGAATTTCATCAATTCAAAAACCTATGGCTGTATGAAATTAATAGAAAACTACAGTGAAATCTGCACTTTACAAAGGAGGCCAGTTAAATACCTGGAGATGGAAGAGATAAAATCTCATCGTTTAAAATTGCCTTGGCACCATCCAGATGTGTCCATGTTGGTATTCGGAAGTTCAACATGGATGACGTGCCAGTCCCCTGCAAAAGTGACTTTCATTATAATGAAGCATAAAACAAAATCTTATTCCACAAAACAAGGTAACAGGTTGGCACCACAATGTCGATAAATCCATCACATATCATTGGAAGAAGTAATTGTCATTTTGCTTTTTTTTAACAGTTAAAATAAATAAATTTAAGCCCCTGAATTGTCATTGTCAGCTTGACAGTAGCATACTTCTCACTAAACATACAGCATATTGTTTTTTCATATCTCACGTAGTCATGATGTACTAATCAAATTAGTATCGTAGACAAACCAATAGAAGTAGAAAAAGAAATGACATGCCTCCCGTTCTCATGACTATGGTACTAGATCAGTAGAACTATATACCAGGTGCATTACTTGTAAAAAAAAACAAGGGAAAAAAAAAACGTTAGTTAAGGAGGGGTACCTCTACAAGAGAAAACGTCAATGTAACTCTAAGGTAAGAATCCCATGAAGTAGCAGGAACTACAGTTTGATGAAGCATGACACCGCCGGATTTCCAATTAAGGGAGCTTGATATGTACTGAATGATGTAAAGTGTAGGGTTCTTTCCTCCTTCTTCAAAGTAAATAGAATCCCCCAACTTTGAGAATGATTCAATCCCTAAAGATGACAAACAAAGGAGAGAGATGATTGAATTGAGATATGACATACTACAATTTGATCCAAATTGAATTATATGGTGGGGAAAAAATGCAAACCTGTTCCATAGCAGCACCAGAAAGATTCAAACTTTGTTCCCCAACCGTGCCAAGTTTTAGCCTTGGATACCCCACGACCTTGTGGCAGCATATATATCATTACTCCAGGATCTGTACCTCTTTGAATCCCCAAAACACCATTTGTTAAAGCACGCTCATAATAATCTGCATATGATACCTCCTTGGTCCACCTAAATACGTTCCGTGAAACCTGAGAAAACATAACTTTTCATTGCTCATACAGATGAAATGTTGTAAAGCGACTGATAAGCGATGACAAGGCATGATGCATAGAAGAAAATATAATAGAAAGAAACAAAAATTTAGCTGAAATGACAATTATTATGTGTGCATTCTCACATACAAACTTGCGCGTCATAAATTAATATAACTTTTAATGGAATGTTTTCACATCCTATGTCACATAAAAGATATATCATTAAGTTGTGAAAACTTCTCACCCATTCATATAACTTCCATTCCGGAAGCATTCCGTAATGAGATTAGAAAAAGGGATAGATGATTCGTTGTTACCTTCAACATGTTATAAGTTGTGCATGACTCTTCATTTTCTGTTGTTTTCAGGTTCTCTGCCATTCTCTTTGGATCATGCCTATGCAAAAGTTAAAATAGATATGCCTACCAAAATCAGGGACTAACTGCCATTACGAGAAATAAAAAGACAATTTCTACTAAAAGCCCTTGTATATATTAAACGGAAGATTGAAAAACTGAAACTAATTATTATATCTCATTACCAGAACTCACTGACCGATGTCCCTCCAGTTGCATAACTGTGAGACGAGTTAACGATATCCATAAAGAATGTTCCAATTTCCTAGCGCAGCAAAAAGCAATAACAAATGTAATTAGAAAATTGAAATTTTCACAAAGGGAAACCACTTCTAGGCTTGACGTGTTTATTCAATGGAACAAACACAAACGATATCTAGCAATGAAAATACCATGAATAGGCATGTATTTGAAGTTTAGACAATGAAGACATGATACAAAAGCCCAAATGCAATACAGAAAAACAAAGGATACATATTGACATTAAAAATTTTAAGTCTGGACCACTGAGTTACTAAAGGAAAAGGAGAGACAACGGCCAATACCATTTTATATTAATTTTATTTCTAGCCTTCAGATTTCAGAGCAAATATGTAAGTACTTTGCAATCTATAATAGAATGCATACCTAAAGTTAATGGGTTTTGAATATTTATTATCTCCAAGCTAGGCCCCAAAGTCAACACGCTTCTTTCAAAAGGCATTCATTATAATTGTCATCACAAGTAAAATCTTTTAATAATAAAATAGATAATTAAATTAATCTATAAATAGATTTATGCCAGAAAATCATAGTTTTCTCATCAACTTCTGGAAATTTAAAACATGCATAAAGTTGTTTACCTTATAGAGCGGATCACCAGTGACTTCATACCGCATTTGAGATCCAATAACAACTGGAATATGTGTGTTAGCATGAAAATTTGCAATGTCATTAGCCTACATGGGAAAAAAAAAAGTTCAAATTTCATTACTCTTGTAATTTGCAAGAAAATTTAATACAATTTATAGATTGGAAAACAAATGCTAAAGTTCAAATATGAGTTCTAAAATGTTTCAGTCAAAGGGGAGTACAATATTGTTAATGATATCCGCTTAGACTTTCGCTCAAAGGAAAAAAAAAATGATACACTTAGAAGAGACATTTTTCTTTGGGATAAAGGAAGACATAGTGATTGTTTAAATACAGGTAAACTTTAAAGGAAACCTGCATAATGAACAAATATAATCATTACCTGCACAGCAAGCAACCCTAAAAAGCATGGCTTGTCAAAAAGGTGAGCCAACAAGAGATGTTTAGGATCTCCCTGCATAGGAACAAGACGTGGAATTTCAGGATTGAATTTGGCAAAAATGATTAGGTCGATGAGTCGTAATTATCAAACTTATACATTGACCAATGCAAAGGAGTCAACACTTTCATACAAACAAATGAAGCTACAAGATTAGTTGACTTACTGTTATGCCGTATAATTTGTAAAGGACATCATTCATTCCTCCAGTTTCCTCATTCAGTGATTGATAATGTCTAGTTATACTGTACTTTGTAATCACATTCTGCACACGGCTGTAGAAGTATTCAGTCATCCATGTCACCATTTTCAGAGCATGAGGGTTTCCAGCCATAGTATATTGATCCAGCAGGCCAGCCATGATCTGCCAAAAGTTGACTAGTTTAAAACCCACAATATTAAGGCCAAAAGTAGTTACATGCTCAGCAATCACATTTGAAGGTACCTTGTGAATGGTGTAATAGGGAGCCCATACAGGCTTAACATCTTCAAAACGGTCAAAAAACTCAGAAGGAAATGCTGAGAGATATCCTGTGCCCAGTTTCTCCTGACAAGTAGATAGATTGGAAACAAGCACCGACATTTTCTCCTTTAGGCTATCATTGTGTGTGCTGGCCCACATCAAAGCTGAAGCGCTCAAGTAGTGCCCTTTGAAATGTCAAAAGCAAGCAAATATAAATCATCCATTAAAAGTAAATTGCAAATGCATATAGTCGCTGCCACTTGCTAGATAATAGAGCTTTAAAAGCCCATGGAAACGTACATAAATGTGTCCACGCTCCACAATCCTGTGTGTGAGAGATATGTCTCCAAAGAAGTTACAAGAAACATCACTGAGTTATATGGCATGTACAGAGGACTCAAAATTTAACTGAGATAGAGGTTATAGAAAAATGGCACTACACAGTGATTCTGTGGACGTGCTCAACCAGATCTACAGGGATGTGTTCATGGACCATCCATACTCATGCTGATAAAGACACGAAGGAGCCACAGGCTCAAGATTGATAAGTTACTCTACATCTCATTGATCGCCATGAGAATTGAGGGGCAGACTGGTTCGCAAAAGAAGCCCACAGCTTAATGGAGAGAACCGTGTGTTTCTGAAACCATTTTCAGACTATCTTGAGGCTATTAAGGGGGGACACAACCCCTTCTTTTGTTTCCTGATACTTTTAATGTAGTTTGAGGTGTATTAAAAAAATGCATCGAAAGTCTAGTACATGACATAAACAAATGATGGATTATAAGGAACTCTTCAAAGACAAACCTGTATGTAAAAATGCTCGGTTTGCAAAAGCAGAACATTTGTAGATAGTTTTACTTGTTTGGCTGGTTGGGTATAAAAAACACTCAATTATGACGACGTTACAGTCATAGGTATTATTCAAACTAAAATGCAATCCTCTCCCAGAGCAGACCAAAGAAAAAAAATCCCCACTACATAATTATTAGGCTTTCATTGATCTTTGACAGCCCTTCCTTCGCAATTCCACGTTGTTACGAGGGCTTTCTGAGCAACCACGAATAAGACAGGTGTACTTAAAGATACCAATTAGATATGAAAGAAGAAGTGAGAATAAGATGATGAATGAAATGGACTAACCAACAAAATGACCTCGGAGCTCACTGTCTGGACTTTCCCAGCCTCCATAAGGCATACCAGAAGCGGGCAAACCAGCCGTCTTCCTGAAGCTCCACAGCAACCTGTCCACATCTAACATCAATAGATACTCCAAATTTGTAAGCTGTGCCCGGGCGTGGAATGTGTCCGGATGCAATCTCACATCATGCAAAGACACTTCTTTGAGGATCCCTTCCGGTGGCTTGAACAAACCCGAACTTTTAATTCTCCTCGAAATCACTGCCCAGTCATTTTGCTCCTCTTTGCCCCTCAAGAATCTCCTTGGTACCAAGCTTTCCCCAGCAGAGTCGTCTGCTGGTGTCAAAAGATCATGTGACATCACCTCTGTCTTCCATGTTTGATTTTCGGACGTCAATAACTCATACCGAAAGGTATGTGATTGTGTAGGCTGGTTGGTGCATTCTTTAGCAACACCCACAGCACAATCACATAGAACCAGGACGAGAAACGCGTAAACAAACCCCCTCATCCTACTGAGAAATTGACATTTTGTTGACCTCATGAGTTGAAGTCGCAAACAAACCCAGAACTGAACAAAGAGATGAGGAAAGGTTGAAGTGAAGACTTTTGGATCCTCACCAACTTGTAGTTCGCATGTTGCAATTTTGATCATCGATGCTCCAGTTATCCTGTTAAATTGAGTCGGTTCAGTGACTGGTTCAAAAGTACAATTCCTTATCCATGAATAGAGACGAATCCGCTGAATAGATAAGACAAAAAATAAGTCAACTTTTTAATGGTTACATTTCTAAAAATAACGAATTTTATCATGGAAAATCAGGGGATTATTGCTTTGATATGATCAAATCCAAATAAATAGGAAACAGTAATAGTAAAATCAGGATTGGATAAAACTAAATAACAATAACAAGTGAATGTAGTAATACTTTGCTGCTTTATAAACGCTGAGCTCACCTAATATTCCAACATGCGAAGGTTTTGGCCCAAAAAAAAAAAAACCAAATGATGACGGAGGAGTCATGTGATGAGCACGTGCCTGCTTCCCTGACGAAAGAGATCAGAGCGGAGTCACAGTCATCGTGCCGGAACAAGCACGCTTCTGCTGCCCCGTCGGCTAGCCTCCCTTCCACTCCACTCCTTGCCATGGAAACCAAAGCAAGAAAAATCGAGTCAAATCAAGAAAAATAGTGAAGAAAAAGGAAAGCAACAATCTTTCAGGGCGGAAGGTCGTCGTCGTCGTCATTTCCGGGCACCAGTTTAGATGAAGGATTGAAACAGGGCAACTTCCTCTTTATCGTCTGCCTTATCTCTTCATCTATCAATCACATCAAAATCTTCTTCCTGTTAATCTTGTATGTTGCGCGAACTGGTTTAGACTTGAGGCATACTATTGAAGACCCATGATGCAAACTTCATGTCCAGTGGGAAGCAAGCTCTAGTAAAAGTCAAAAGCGCGATTTTTTTGGGAGACGATAAATACTCCACTTATTTATCATACTAATTATCTACATTGCTGCACAGTTGTTAGTTTCTTCTTCTTTTTTTCCCCCCTCCTCTCCCCACTTTTTCCTGCTGCTCTTTGAATAATGTTGAATAAATAAAATTGCTTAAATGTAAGGCGAAAAAATATTTTTCATTCATTATCCTTTTTACCCTTGAATTCAATGATTGATGACTATTTTTCTTCAAAACTATTGAATTGGTAACAAAAGCTAGAATACTAGTATTAATGTTCTCAAATAAAGATAAACCAGGCCAAGTGATAAAAGGTTCCTTTGAATTAACGGTTAAAAACATAATTTATTTTTAATCTAATTTTTAGAAAAATGAGATTGAGTAAAAATTAGATTGGGTGATTTTGTTTGTGTTTGAATTGACTTTTATAAAAGTTAGTTTGTAAAATGAAAAAGGTTGTTTAGATTATAATTGAATAAGTAAGTTTAGTTTGCAAAATGATCAAAATAGATATGACTTTCATTAGATAATAAAAAATGATTAAAAATATGAATTTACAAAATATAATAATTTTAAATTATTATAATATGAAAAATTTATATTTAATTAATAAAATATATTTAAATTCGAAATGAAAATTTTTGAATCAAATAATATTACATAATTAATTAGATTATATACTCTATATAATTTATGTAAATATAGAATTAAAAATAATAAAAATTAAAAATATTATAACAACTGTTAAAAATTATTTTAGAATATTAAAAATAAATAACTAAAAATTAATTAGAAATTACAAGGAATTATGGGTGTTCAATTTGTCCCATTCTAATCTTGATATCTACGAGATAGGACAAAAAAAGAATTTCTGGACGAGACAAGTACGAAACCCATTATGTGTCCCATCCCTAGAAATTTTTTTTAAAAATTATTTATTAATAATTATTATTAGATTATTCAATTTACTTATTAGCAATAATTATTATTTTTATAGTGATTTTTAGTGCTTAAGTTGTAGTATTATCTCAACAAAATCTCCTTCCTCAATAAAATAATTCATAAAGTCATTACATAGTGTTTTTTTACAGTATTTTTTACAATATTGTTTTTACACCTTTTTTATATTATATAATTGAGCTTTCTACATTATATTTTTTTATAATAATTTTATCTTTAAAAGTCCAATAAAAAATAAGCATTATAACATAAAAAAATTCATACAAAAAATTATAATTTTTTTTTACAAAAAAAAAAGGGGAACTGGACGTCCTGATCTTGCCCCTGTACCGTCCCGTGAACACCCCTATAAGGAATATATAGAAGAAAGCATAAAAACAACATAGATATAAGGGCAAAAATGTCTTTTAATTCCAAAAAACTACATTTGCATAAGTTATCAGTAAGTTTTAAGTGTTTTTACAATCATGTTTAAATAAGCCAGGCCAAGTGATAAAGAATACATTTGGATTAGTGGTAGAAAAAATAATTTATTTTCAATATGATTTTTAGAAAAGTGAGATCGAGTAAAAGTCAAATTGAGTGATATAGTTTGTGTTTGAGTTGACTTCTATAAAAGTTAATTTGTAAAGTGAAAAAGTTGTTTAGATTATGATTGAATAGTTTCCAGAATAACCAAAATGGATATAACTTTTATTCAATAATGAAAAATGATTAAAAATATGAATTTACAAAATATAATAATTTTAAATTATTATAATATGAAAAATTTATATTTAATTAATAAAATATATTTAAATTCCAAAAAAATTTTTTTGAACCAAATAATATTATATAATTAATTAGATGTATACTCTATATAATTTATGTAAATATAGAATAAAAAATCATAAAAATTAAAAATATTATAACAACTGTTAAAAATTATTTTAGAATATTAAAAATAAATAACTAAAAAGTAATTGAAAATCACAAGGAACATATAGAGAAAAGCATAAGAACATAGCTATAATAGCAAAAATATCTTTTAATTCTAAAAAACTACTTTTGTACAAGTAATAAGTAAGTTTTAGGTATTTTTGCAATCGTGTTTAAAAAAACAACTTTTAACCAATAAGTTAGATTGGACAAAAATTGTGACAAATAATTCTTAAATTTACAAACTAACTTATCACATCTATAAACTATTTTTTCCCCTCCAAAACGCCACACCAAACAGAATAAAAATAGAACTAGAAACGTTTTTCATAATTACATCAAATTTGGGGTGACGTGTGTTATTCATAATTTATAGAGAACATAATTTTTAAGAGATTTTATCTTGAATTATTGATGACGATGATAAGGAGATATTGAGCTGTCCCATTAGCGTTAAATACATTTGACACCAAAAGAGAAAACAATTAGCATTAAAAAGGACCACATTTAACTCCCCCTCCCTCCCTCGTTTTCAATATTTACATCTAAACATACTCGCTGATTAAGACATGAAATGTCAGTCAAAATGTTAGTTAAGTGTGACTGTGAGATGCCTTTGACAGCCCTGAAAGAGGCACTGATAAAGTTTTGCCTAAGCTCTGCTTCTTTTGTCAATTGTATCAGCACCGCATTTCTGAAGAATTTGTGAACCATATTTTCTTTTTAACACTCCAATAACATCCTCCACATTCTCCTTTCTTGGATTTCTTCTCTGCTGGGCAGTCGCTGCTGATGAATTTTGATGCCCATTATCTGTGATAAACTGAGAAGTTTCGTCTTTTTTATCATCATCATCGTCAGTGTCTTCAATCTCAATGATGGTTGGTGGTCCTAATCTTCCACTAGCTGGGGAACAAAGAAAGATGTGTTAGGGGTGCTTTATCTTAGATCTGCATTGGAAAGAAGTCCAGAAAATGCCTAGGAAATAGAAGAATATAAAATTCTGTATCCATAGGGAAATCAGAAATGATTGTTAATCTCTAAATTTGGCCCCCTCAATGGTAACTCCTTGGGCTTGAATTATAAATATAGCAGAAGGCCATCATATGTTGAATCAAAACCGGATTTTAATCAAGGAAATAGGGATTGGCAAGGATTAAAGGGGCTTTAGAGCAATATCAAAGACTACTTCAGCTCAAAAGCTCAATTTATGGAAAATACTGCAGCCTTGGAATTTAAGTCCGTGGGGATTCATTCCTTCATAAGAAATCAGAAATATTCACGGGAGGATATCCTTTATATCTCGTTTTCACATAGTACTAAAAAATTTTACCAAGCAGAAAGGAAGAAACTATAAAATGGAAGATTAAATGTCTCCTAAGAAAACATAAATTGTTTGACCCTGCTTAAATGCTCATTAGACCAGAAACCAAACCAACAACAATGAAACAGAACAGCAATAAATGAGGAAAATCCTGAGGCTCTGATATTAATATTCCAGAGTTGAATCAAAGATACAATAAGCTTCCCTGATTCAAGCCAAAGCCCTATTTCCCCCTAATAACAGAATAAATCACAGCAGCAACTAATAACAAAAGAACACTGGAAATCCAATGAACACAGCTTAACCAAGCGGCTCTCCCATGGCATTCGAGAGGCCAGGTCTCTCCTCACAAGTCTGTTCCCAAAATCAGTCCTAAGGGCATTACCCTCCCATTACACGCATTATACTCCCCCAAAAGTAGTCCGACCCCCTCTAGAAGGATTCAGACTCAAAAGATTGGTAGCTAGCTGCACACTAGAGTTGTTACCCATTTTCTGGAGCTCCAGGATAAGCTCTTGGACGAGCGGATTTCCCTTCTTCTACCCTTGGTTGTTTTCCAAACTTCCTCTTATATCTCTTTCTAAAACCAGCAGCTATAGCAGCTATATCAGAAATCAAAGAAAACCTGAAGAGTTACAACTTGAGATGTAAGGACCTCAAAACTCAAAAGCATGCACAAGCAGTGACAACTAAATCATGACCAGAACATCAAAGAGACGCAAGATTAATAATCCCATTTCATACAAGTGTTCTGGTTTATGTTCCTCCAGCCTCCATTCCTTTGATAAAGTTGCACTAGAGGCACGGAGAATACTCTATCCAGCCCTGGACCATCCAGGTGGACAGAGAAAGAGAGGGATTTGTGGGCCACACCTGATACATGGGAACCACCATTACCCCGCACCCCCCCTTTTTTTTCTCCTCACCCGGTTGTCTTGGTAACCCGGAGAGGCACGGAAGCATAGAACTAAAGTAATGGATAATGTGATCGTCAAAAGCATTTTGCAGTTTACTTGGGGAATGAGGAGCAATCCTTCAGCTTCATTGCTTTTTTTATTAAAATTGCCTCAGGTATTACAAACAAGTATTTTTCCCTTAATCAAACTAAAACCAGAGTGACACCCATCAAAAAGAACTGCTCCAAAGAAACCAAAAAAAAAAAAAAAAAGTATAACTCAACAAATTTCTTGGTGCTTCATGATTGCAGTAAACATTCATGGTTACCTGGGGAGAAATCCTCTTCAAGTACGTTTGCTTCAAAAACAAAATACACTGCTTCATTAAATAGTTTTTTCTTAGTCACATCAAATGAAATCTAAGAGCATCAAGAGTTGAAAGCAACCTCCCGACTGATCACTAGAGAAACGATCAACCTAGCTAACACGGTCAAGTTAAAATGTATTCGAGGAGCTTTGTTGATTCCAAGAAACAGAAAAGTTCATTACTTCTTATTTTTGGATAAAAAATCCCAGTCCAATAAAATACAGAAATGAGATCCTTAACCGTAAAAAATAATACTTTTGGATAAAATGTCCATATGCTCAAATACTTTGATTGATTACTCCAAAACCGAATTATCTAATTTTTAAAGTAAAAAACCAATGGATTATTGAATCACGAGATAATCATCAACTTCCCATTGTTTGTATAGCAGAAGAAACATTTCCTTAGACCCAATCATAAAGTTGTTTATTCCTCCAGTTACTTCACTCAAATTTTTTCCAAGTAAAATACAAATTCAATCTCTTTTCTCACCATAAAATTCAAACGAGCACATCAGTGTAGCTAGAATAGAAGCTACTACAATTCCAATACCTGATATATCCTTGTTTGGATTGCTTGAGGACTGCCTAATGCCAGCACAGATATCACCATTTCCTTGTGAAACATTAGAATCTGCATTGTTATTCCCAAAATCGCCACCATGAACATGGATTCCATCGGTTTCCTTTTCCTCTTTAACATCCAAAGTAACCCCAAGATCACCTCCATAATTTCCCTCATTGTTTCGTTCCTTCACCAACAATCGCGTTTCGTGTTCCACCTTCAGAAGCCGCTCATTGAGCTCCAAAAATTTCTCCTTCCATATCTTCAGCTCACCCTCCAGTTCGCTGTTCTTAGCCCTGAGCTCTTCAACGGTCGTATCTTCGAGCCCATTCTTCTTCACGTTAGCTAGCAATTTCTCATACAGATCTTCACCCTTCTTCCTCTTTTCACATTGTTCCTGGCACTCCTTCAACTTGACCTCAATCCCCATCCTATCCAACCGCTCAAAGTCTAAAGTTTGTCTCAGTTTATGAGCCTCGTCTTTGAGTTGGGCTTCTCTCGTGACCAGAACCTGCTCCACTTGGTCAAATTGTTTTGTTCGAGTTGCGATTCGCAGCTCGAAAATGAGGTCCGGTATGCTCATGTTGACTAGCTTTTCCTTTTCGTAATCGCCAAGCTCTCCGCAAGGCCGAGACCCAGGTTCCGTTTTCCGTTCCGAGTCCATTACTGAGTCGAAGCGTGCGAGAAAGACGCGGGAGATTATGAAGGCGAGAGCAATTAAGAAACTTGTTCGGTGAGAAAGAAGATGGCAATCAAAGAGTCTGATGTCGCCGGTTTCTTCTCCGTTCCCGACGAGGTAAAAAGCAGCACTTTTTTTTTTTTGAAAAAAATTCTCTCCCCGGAAAGTTTAGAAGCCGAAACAGCATGGGAAAAGAGGCTCCAAAAGCAAACAATTGGCCAAAAATTTATTTAATTTTACCATTTAGACTTTTTTAAAAAAATATTGTATTTTTTCAGAATTGACATTAACAGCCCAGAATTGCAACCCGAATCTGGATTTATATTAGGTGCTCATCACCAATGCTCATCACCAATGCTCATCACTCATCTGGACCGTCTACCCCGGAATCTCCAAACTACCAAGTCATGTAAAGAATGATTTTCATGTTTTTACATAAAAATAATATTTTAAACAATAAAAATATAACAAGCATTAAATAAAAACAATGGTTTTCTCTTAAAAAAGAGAATGGTAAAAATTTATTACAAATTTGAAATTTGAAACTAGTAACATTTTCTACGTATTCATTTTAATGGAGCTTGGGAACAAAAGCTACGCTGATTATTATGGTTTGTAAATTGGCAACTTATTATAGATTTTATTTTCTGTATTAATAAGTTGATTATATATACATATATTCATTTGTTTGTCTTCTTCACTTCATTTTAATTTTAATATATTCATTTAATTTTGTCTTAAATTTTTGGTTAAAGGGTATCTTTAATCCTTTAATTTTATGAGGTTTTAATTTAGTCATTTAATTTTACAAAATATAAATAACTATAATTGTTATAAAAAAATCATGATTTAAAGCTAAATTAGGATTAACTATGTTTGGTTCCAATTTGATTCTATTTAATGTTTAACTTTCATACTTCATAATTCTTTAGGTATGTTTTTAGTCTTTCATTTTCATTCCTTAATTTCACTTTTCCTCGGTTTCCATTACCAATGTCCAAGAGGACAAATTAAAAAACTTGGATTGTTAAACTACATACTTAATGTATTTTATTCCAATCAAATTAGTACAAGTAAAATTTAAATTTTAAAATAGGTTGAAAGTGTTAAAAATAAAAGCAAGCGTCTAGGTAAAAATAACAAAAAATCCCAAAAAAAATACCTCTTAAATTTCAAAATTCCAAATCAAGAATTACTAAAAGAATATATTGTTATTCACTTTTCAATTATAGTTAATTGCTATTAAAGTGTACTGCCTCTAGTCTTTAAGATAAGAACTAGTTTAATATTCAACTTGGTCTTAAATGTAAAACCTCACTCTATTTTGTCTATTATATTTGTCTATTTTTTTCTATAGTAATCTTTATAATAGTTACACATGTTAAAAATTTCATCAAGTAAAAGTATTTTAGAGAAGACAATACCTATTTATTATAATAACTAACTTAACTAAGTTTCTTAATCTACTCAAATTAGTCAACTAGCTCTTGTATTAAAAATAGGAGGCAGTAGTGAATAAGACTAATTTCAAATTTTGAAATTCAAGGGGTATTTTTTGGGAATTTTCCTAAAAATAATTTAACTATAAATTTAAACCCAGCATCATTTTCTGTCTCCTAGATCACATGACTGCATAATTACAGAAGTTTTAGTTTTTATTTTGAATCATTAGTCATTCATCAGCATATCATAATTGAGATCCACAAATAAAAAGGATTGATAATTATATCATAGTGGATGTTCAACAAGTGGTTATTTACGCATGTCTCTGCCTATAAGATATGCAATAAGAAGAAGCTTATGCAATTTAATATTGATGAGTTACTGGAATCACCAGTAAATCCTGCTCTCTTTTCACTGACAAGCCAAAAGATTCAGACATGTCAAGATCTTGAGGCTTAGTATCATCAGGCAACTTCCAATCAAAATGAAAGAGCAAATTTGCCACAGAGAGTTCAACACTAGCAATACCAAATGTGATTCCTGGACAAATTCTTCTACCTGCACCAAACGGGATGAACTGAAAATCTGATCCTTTATAATTCACTGAGCTCTCAAGAAACCTTTCTGGGTAAAATCTCTCTGCTTCAACCCAGTAGTTAGGGTCCCTCCCAATTGCCCAAGCATTCACAATGACTTTGCTTTTTGAAGGTATTTCAAACCCATTTATCTCACATCTCTCACCGCATTCTCTTGGAAGTAACAGAGGAACAGGAGCATGAAGTCTCAAGGTTTCTTTGATGACAGCTTGTAGGTATTTGAGTTCATCAATACTTGCTTCATCCACATTCCCTTTTCCACCATACACATTTTCTTACCTCAGACTGTGCTTTCTCCATCATCCTAGGATTTTTCATTAGTTCTGACATTGCCCAGTCTATTGTTGTTAGTGTTGTGTCACTTCCAGCACTGAAGATGTCCTGAAATACATGATGACATTGCTAACAATCAACAGAATCTCCAAGCATTGATTAAGCACCAATTATCGGTAGAAGCACACTTTATAAAGATTTAGTTATATAAAGTGGGTAGCTTTTACCATTTCTTTAGGAATTTATGATCAAAACCTGGCTTACTTGATGTCTACATATCATGAAAGCTCTAACAAGTCACATTATTCATAAATCATGAGCAATACATCTTGTCTTTGTTAACTCCGTTCAATGCACAACATTCACACTAGTTATTACTTATATTGAAAATAACGTTTGGATTTACATGATAAACTAGTGAGTTAAATAATTTTGCTAGACAATCAAATAGTAATAATCACCCTTTTTCTAAGCTAAATATGTCATTTTTAGTCATCGAACAACAAGAAATAGTGTTTTAAAACAGCCGCTTAGGTGATTAGGACTTTTTACAGATATTTGGAAATCTGGTTGTGGAAAAGAATTAGTTCCAAAGTAAGAAGAGATTGAAAGCAGAGCTAAGTAGGCACTTGGATCAAATTTGTTCCTTCTTTGGAAAGAAGCATGAATTTAGGTAATAGCATACTGACCAGAATGGTTGCTTTGATCACAGTGTTTGACAGGGGATGTTCCAGGTCGCTTTGCTTCTGAAGCCTCAAAAGAACATCGACAAGATCTTCTTCTCGTTCACCAACTTCTTTGTTTCTATGGTCTCTCACAATATTCTCAAGTATCCTATCCATTCCCTTATGAAGCCTCTCGAACTTAGCCCTGAACCCAGTAAGAGTTTGAAGAACTCCAATAGAAGGGAAAATATCAGCAACAGAGAACCCAGAAGCTACCTTTGTGACCTCCTTCATCATATTACTGTAAGCTTCTTGATCTTCAAATTTCCCCCCAAAAGCAGCCATTGAAATCAACCCATAAGCCAAGGAACTAATCTTCTCACTCAGATTGATGACCAACCTTTCACTGTTTTTTATCTCCTGCACAAGATTCGACAATTCCTTCTCCCTCATTAACCTAAAGGACCCAACTTTCTTTGGTGCTAGAAGTTCATTAGTGCAAATCTTCCTCATCTGTCTCCAATAAGACCCATAAGGACTGAAAGTCATGCCTTTGTAGCCGTAAGTTATGACTTGTGCAGCCAGAAGAGGAGGCCTATTTGCAAAAATTAAGTCATGGGTTTTCATGATCTCTTTGGCCATTTCTGGGGAAGAGATTATTATGCAGGAAAGCTCACCAAGCTTGAGGTGCATGAGAGGGCCATATTGGGATGCCAATTTGGCCAGAGAACGATGGGGAAGAGAACCTAGCTGGTGGATATTGCCTATCAGAGGAAACTTTCTAGGTCCTGGAGGCAATTTGTCATTTGAGGTCTTTGTTTTTGATCTGAGAAGTATATGGGTTGCTATAAACAAGAAGACGAAGAAGAAGAACGAACAAGCAGAGATGGCAGAGGATGAAACCAGTTCGGAATCCATGGTTGCTATGGCGAACTAGCTCACTGCACGGACTTATTTAAATGGTTTTTAAAGACTCTGATCCTCCTGATGGTTGTTTGGTAAAATTTTTAATTATTTTTTAAGTTGACTCATTGTTTTAATCTTATCATTAAACCTTCAATAATATTATTATTAAATTTTATTTACATGCTAATTATGTTTTGTGTGAGGAACATAAATTTCTTCACATATATTACATAAAATTTGAAAAAAAAAAGTTTTTTTTCAATTTCCAAATTGTATAACTTGGACTAAATTCTTTAATATAGCCATTACATATATGATGTTACTAAGCTGTACACTACATATGATATATGTCATCATATCATCATATATATACTCTTCCAATTCTAAATATAAAGGTCTTATATTTAGAACCGAAAGAGTATATAAATATACATATTGTCACGTAAGTTTGATAGTCTTGTTTATCTTCATATTTCTTGTGTAATTCACCATCTTGGAATCAGACGTTAAGTCAAATAAAACTTAAAAAACTTTAAGCCTATGCTTATTTGCAGATGTCACCATGGATGAGCTTTAAGTATTTTGCAGAATTTCCCCTATTTATTGCCAATCCCATGAATTAAGACTTTTGTGTTTGCCATTGACTTTGTATTTGTGTGCACTACCATTAGCTTCATTCTTTTAACCTGCGGGACTTTGCCAACCAGAGCCACAGTAAATCCCCGTGACGACATCCTAACATCGATTTTCCCCCTTTCTTCAATTAAAAGAAATGACAAAGAAATACAAGGGAAAAAACAACAAAAAGTTAGAGTACATTAATTTCCACCCTTATCATCATCGTCGTCGTGATCGTCGTCATTATTATCCCATCTTCCACACTTTAACCCCCTTCATTGGATATGGAGGCAAAGAAAGTAGAAAGAATACTAGGAGAAACGTTTGACTATCTTTTAAAGTTTTTCCTCATATATTCTCTTTTATCTTTCTCCTCATCCAGACAAAGCCATATGAACAATTGTTGGAGTCAGGATTTTAGGACAGCCACATTATCCTCTTTGTATGCCACCTTTTCTAATGGAGTGTTTGGACGTACCCAAAAGTGCTTTTCAGAAACACTTTTCCATAAAACGAGGTAAATTCTTCTATATATTTATCTCGTACACTGTAAAAACACTTTTAAAATCATGGTTTGGTTTCCATCCAGACACCCACTAAGTGTTCATAAAACAGATAGGTAGATTATAAAACATTCTGAATCCGATCTTCCATGAACAACTAAAAGGACAGAAATTGAATCCACTACCAGAAAACAGACCTGAGAAGATTTATTCCAGTGCAGAGAACAAGCTAGAACAAGTAAATTTTCAATTTAAAAGTAGGTTGAAAGTGTTAAAAATAAAAGTAAGCTATAAAGTAAAAATAATATGACTATAAATTTGAACCATGTACACAGTCACGTTCTCTTGCGTCATTTTCTCACTCTTAGATGATTGCATAATTACATAAGTTTTATTTTTTATTATCAACCATTAAGCATACATCAGCGTATCATAACTGAGGTTCACAAATAAGAAAGATCGATAAGTTGACATCACAATGGAGGTTCAACAAGTACTCCTCTAATCCTAAATGTAATATCTATTTTGTAATGTAATTTACACTATAAAATGAATCTTACATTTAAGACCAGAGAAGTAGTTGTTTAGGCATGTCTCGTCTTAAAATCTCCAATAACAGTAAGCTTATGTAGCATAAGGTTGATGAGTTATTGGAATCAACAACAAATCTTGCTTTCTTTTCACTGACAAGCCAAAGGATTCAGACATGTCAAGATCTTCAGGCTTAGTGTCATCAGGCAACTTCCAATCAAAATGAAAAAGCAAATTTGCAAGAGAGAGTTCAACACTAGCAGTAGCAAATGCCATTCCTGGGCAAATTCTTCTTCCTGCACCAAACGGGATGAACTCAAAATCCGATCCTTTGTAATTCACTGAGCTCTCAAGAAACCTTTCTGGGTAAAATCTCTCTGCTTCAACCCAATAGTTTGGGTCCCTCCCAATTGCCCAAGCGTTCACAATGACTTTACTTTTTGCAGGTATTTCAAATCCATTAATCTCACATCTTTCACTGCATTCTCTTGGAAGTAATAGAGGGGCAGGAGCATGAAGCCTCAAGGTTTCTTTGATGACAGCTTTTAGGTATTTCAGTTCATCAGTACTTGCTTCATCCACATACCCTTTTCTACCATACACTTTTCTTACCTCAGACTGTGCTTTTTCCATGATCCTGGGATTTTTCATTAGTTCTGCCATTGCCCAGTCTATTGTTTTGAGTGTTGTGTTACTTCCAGCACTAAAGATGTCCTGAAACATATGATGACATTGCTAACAATCAACAGAATGACCAAGCATTGATTAAGCACCAATTATTAGTCAAAAACAACGAAGCGCACTTTAGAAAGATTTAATTATATAAAGTAGATAGCTTTTTCCACTGCTTTAGGAGCTTATGATCAAAACCAGGCTTGCATGATGTCATATCTTTGATGTGCTTATTTGATGTCATATCTTATATGGTATCTCTATCTGTTATAAAAGCTCTAAAAAGTCACAGTATTCATAAGTCATGAACTTTGCATCTTACATTTTAACTCCGTACAATGCACAACTCCACACTAGTTATTACTTATGTTGAAAATATGTCTAGATTTACATGATACTCTTCCAGTCCTAAATATAAGACCCATTTTATAATGTAAATTATATTACAAAGTAGGTCATATATTTAGGATAGGAGGGAGTAACATATTGACCAAAATAATTTTGTCTGACAATCAAATAGGGATGTTCACCATTTATCTAGGCTGAATATGTTATTTTTAATCATCTAACAATAAGAAATAGTGTTTTGAAATAGCCACTCAGATGATTAGTTTTTTTTTTTTCCAATTTTTTGGTTACAGGGATTTTAGAAATCTGGTTATGAAAAAAGAATTAGTTCCAAGGTAAGCAGAAGCTGAAAGCAGGGCTAAGTAGGCATTTGGATCAAATTTGTTACTTCTTTTGGAAATAAGCATGAAATTAGGTAATATCATACTGACCAGAATGGTTGCTTTGATCACAGTGTTAGACAGTGGATGGTCAAGGTCGCTTTGCTTCTGAAGCCTCAAAAGAACATCAACAAGATCTTCTTTTCCTTCACCAACTTCTTTGTTTCTATGGTCTCTGACAATATTCTCAAGTATCCTATCCATTCCCTTATGAAGCCTCTCAAGCTTAGCCCTGAACCCAGTAAGACCTTGAAGAAATCCAATGGAAGGGAAGATATCAGAAATAGAGAACCCAGAAGCTGCCTTTGACGCATCCTTCATCATATTACTATAAGCTTCTTGATCTTCAGATTTCCTACCAAAAGCAGCCATTGAAATCAACCCATAAGCCAATGAACTAATCTTCTCATTCAGATTGATGACCGCCCCTTCACTGTTTTTTATCTCCTGCACAAGATTTGACAATTCCTTCTCTCTAATTGACGTGAAAGATGCAACTCTCTTTGGTGCTAGAAGCTCAGTAGTACAAATCCTCCTCATTTGTCTCCAATAAGACCCATAGGGACTAAAAGTCATGCCTTTGGAGCCATAACCTATGATTTGTGCAGCTAGAAGAGGAGGCCTATTTGCAAAAATTAAGTCATGGGTTTTCATAATCTCTTTGGCCATTTCTGGGGAAGAAATTACTATGCACGAAAGCTCACCAAGCTTGAGGTGCATGAGAGGGCCATATTGGGATGCCAATTTGGCCAGAGAACGATGGGGAGGAGATCCTAGCTGGTGGATATTGCCTATCAGAGGAAACTTTCTGGGTCCTGGAGGCAATTTGGCATTTGAGGTCTTTGTTTTTGATCTGCGAAGTGTGCGGGTTGCTATGAACAAGAAGAAGAAGAAGAAGAAACAAGCAGAGATGGCAGAGAATGAAACCAGTTCTGACTCCATGATTGCTATGGCGAACTAACTGACAGTCCTCTCTTATTTGAATGGGTTGTAAAGACTATTATTTTCGCGATGATTGTTCGGTATTTTTCTTTCAATTGATGTTGACTATTATTATTTTAAGGCTAACTATACATTTGACTTTTTTTCAATTTAGTCCTTTTAACTTTAAAAAGTACATTTTTAGTCCTTTAATCCTGAAATTATTAATCTTAAATGATGATTTTTTGTAACAATCATGATTATTTTGAAAAATAAATTTAATATGTTAGTATGCAGTAATATTTTATCAACATTGAAGAGCTTAATATCATTATTTTTTGTTCATGGTTGTAGGATTAGAAGACTAAAAGTTTACTTTTTAAAGTTAAAGGACCAAAATAAAATCTTGTATAAAGATAAAGGACTAAAAGTATATTTTAATCTTATTTTAATCTCTACCATTAAACTTTTACTAACATTATTAAATTTTCTTCACATGCTAATTTACACTTTTTTTTTAAATACAGCTATTGGATATATGATATTACTAAGTTAGGGTCACCTCATCATCATCCATCGTCACAAGTTATTGTGATAGCCATGTTTATCCATATATTACTATTATATTTCTTGTTTAATTGCCACCATCTTTACACTGATAATTTTAAGGAGACAAAGGCGGACTCAGACATTTAAGTAAAATAAAACGAAGCAAATTTCTAACCTATGCTTATCTGCCCGTCACCATGAATGAGCTGTAATCATTTGTATAGTTTCCACGATTTCTGGGTCAATAATTCCGGTATAAAGAAAAGTCGGATTGAAGTATTGTCAATCCCATTAATTAAGAGCAAGATGGTCATTGACTTTTTATTTGTACACATTATCATCAGCAATCGAAGTCAAACAAAAATTTAGGGTGCCGTATACTATGAAACATTGAAAATAAAAGATAAAAATTGGGACTGAAATTAAAAAAATCTATTAAAAAATATTTAGTATGATGAATTTCTTGTTACTTTAGATTGGGCAAATCCATATGGGTGGGATTGGGAAATGTCATAGAGAGAAATAGTATTCTTCAATCTTACTTACAAGTTTGCCTAATCTCAAGTAATAAATAACTTCTTATACTAAACACTCTTTTAATGAATTTTATTAATCCCAATTCCAATTCCTATTTCTCATTTTCAACAACTGATACCGAACAAGACCTAAGTGATTCTAAGTGATTACATCCTGATTTTTCCTTTCAAATAAAAGGAAAAAAATAAGCCACAACATGAGAAAGAAAACAATAAAGTTAAGAGTGTACTAATTTCTACCCTTATTACTATTGATCCGTCTTTACACTTTAACCCTTTGTTTGGATAGAGAGGCAAGGAATGTGGAGAGAATACTAAGGAAGAAAAAACTCCCAAGTTTAGTAAAATATTTTGCTTTTTTTTTAAAAAAAAAAAGTTTTCCTTATTATATTCTCTCCTTATTTTTCTCTCTATAAGGCTAAAGGCATGATTGCAATAGTATATCAATATATCTTTTGATACTGTTCTACTCAAGCCATGACTCAAATGGCTTACTCTTTGGCTTCATACTCATTTTACTATTCATAAGAGATATCTGGCTTAATAACAACTTTCCATTGTAGGTTTGATTAGATTGTTGGCTGTAATTTTCCTGAGCTGTCAAAACATTCTGGGCAAGTGGAGCTTATTTTGATGCTTCTATGAAGAAATTGTAGTATCAAAAAGTGACGTAGTGGAGGTTACAAGGAGGCAATGCTAATCGATGCTTTGTTTTTAGTTGAGCCATACATTTTGAATTGATAGGGGAGGTTGCTTAAGACCATGCCTCATGGCAATGGAAATTAAAACCAAAATTATTAAAATATGTTCCCCAATTTTCTCGTACTTTTTCCTTCCTCTTCAAGCTTGGTATACCTTTGACTGTTAAGTTTGGTCATTTTTTCTACCGTGACAAACTTCAAGGATGTGGTTCAATTCTTTCTAGCCAAGTGAATCCAAATGCCTAAGAAATGTTTTATCAGGCATAGGGCATAAACGGTATTACAAAGTGCCTCTCCCTGTCAGGATTCATTGTAAACATTAATAATTTATTAACTTCTCAAACATGAATGACAATGCTTCGTTGGAATGGTTATCACCAATAAAAATATGAAGTAAAGCTCACGAATTAGTCAAACGAACATGAATCTCCCTATTTTGATGAGAAATTCTCTAATGCCCTAGCCCCTTTTCCATTTTTGCAGATAACGTTGAAATGGCAGAGGAAAAAGCTGCTATCATGAAGCCAAAAGGGAGATGGAGAAGAGTGAGCAGAATATAGCAATGGAAAGAGGACAGATTATTCAGGTTGCGGTGGTGCAAAAGGCTAAGTCAATGCAAAAGGTTGACTCCATGCGCAGAAACTAGACGTATTTTGAAACTTCTCTGTCCATGAATGAACATACATTGTGTACTTTTTGCATATAAGACGAAGTTCTTGGTTCAAAACTTGTCATGTAACTTTTGGTATTTTTAAATGGTCCTAATTTGCCTGCTTTGTGCAACTTATGTAATATCAATTTTATTGTCTTGTCTATTGACATTTTACATGAGTTGAAACTTCCCTTTTATAGGACAGAACTTAACAATATTATGCATTTCAATATACTTTTTGCAGGTGATGCTGGGTTGGTTGAGAAAGTTTGAAGCCAAAACTTTTTTTCTTGGGGCGATGTGAAATAGTCTGCAGAAAATTTGTCCCGTGGCACTTTGTTTGTCATTATGGATAGGTACGGGTGCTTGCTATAAGTTGTACTGTTTAATAGCATCTTTCTGGTATGCATGTTTTGTTTCATGTTGGTCTCACTAAGGACAAGGTATCCTTAGTAGCTTTTTTTGAATTGGTCCTTGGTAGCCTTTTTAAAATACTATAGGTGGTGTTGACTTTGCCTTTGTTTTTCCCATCATTGCTTTTGAACTTGGTGGCTTCTTTAATGTTGTTCCACTTACTTTTACAAAGGATCATTTCCATATAATAATTTATTATGTTAATTGCTTTATGTAGTATTCCCCGGCCCAGCCCTTGTGAGGGCATTGAAGTTTGTTTAATCCGTAGTGTATTATTGATTATTGATAGTATTCCCCGGCCCAAAAAACTCGGCTGCAAATGGAGTTCATTTTGATGCTCACCTGGAAAGAAGATTTTCATATTGGATTGCAGTATTAACATCAAGAAGTCAGAACTGATATATTTTTTCCCACATCTGTTGCACCTGTAAAGTTGTTCACAGTATTTCTTATTCAAATGGATGCACATTTATATAACAAAATGCATATATCAGCAGCAACTTGTATAGAATGTTTGAGCTGTGTTGAGTAGTATTGATCTGGTTATAAATATGAAAATCTCCTAAACGTTGTCTTATTACATTTTTTTTCCCTGGTTGTCTTCTTACTTTACTATTAGAATATCTTATAAGCTATGTGTTGAAGTTTGACTCTGAGAATGCATAGCTATGGACAAATACACAGTGATGCCCACCCGGTGGATCTTCATTGCATCTGATGAGCAATAACATCATCCGTCCCCAGTGAATTTAAATTTTAAATAGGATTTGAGAAATTTTTATTATTTTTTTAAAAAAATTCAGCGATAATAAGAGTTACAATATTTTCAATAATATTTTATAAGTTATGCAAACATATAAAAAAAGTACATTTTTTGATTTAGTTTAAGACTTTCGAATTTTTTATTTTTCTGTTTAGTATATACATATAAAATGTTTTTTTTCTTAATATATAAAGGCTTTTTCATTTATTTTCACAATTGTACATAATAGATTGTGATCTGTATGAATATATTTTTAAAGTTTGTAATTGAATATTTACATCTTAGTTGCAGAAGCTCTCCATGCAACCATGTAAGAAAAAAACCTTTAAAATATACTAATCCATGTAAATGAAAATAACATTAATATATTAATGTCATTAAAAACGTATACTAATTCATTCAAATGAAAATAACCAATGTTATTTGCTGGAAGATATTTAGGAATTTGCATGCATTATGAGATTTTAATGTAAACCCCAAGGCATGAAGCACATTGTTTAGATGCTACTATTCCACCATATCGTGGAACCTTTCTTCCTTTCTTCTTCCTTCATAGCATTTCAAATTTACCAACTTACCGTCTTTTCTTTGTCCCCTTCTCTACCAGTGCAATGTAATCTGTGTATGAGAGAATAGAATGCATTGGAGTAATTTCAATGCATCTGCGTTAGCAAATATAGGAAGAATACTATTTTGCGTGAGGATCTCAACTAAAAAAAAGCTGCACGGGATGTACAAGCTAGTTATGCTTTTCTTTTTTTTCCCCTAAAACATAGATATCCTCCTATTAAAAGCAATCCTATTCAAAACACTGTTAGGCACTGAATATGGCCATCTCTTCTAACAAGAATTTGAATTTTGGTTCATTACGTTGTGAGAGACTAGTCTCTTCCGCTAGTTATGCCTTAATACCAAGTAATGCTTTGACTTTGACAATACAACTAGACCATTCATTTGCTTCCCCCAAACACATGAAAGTGTGATATTCCAGCTTTTATCAGAAGGTACATTTTAACATTGTTCAAACTGAAAGTAATGAAATGTTTTATCTATTGATGATGCATGGTCAACCAGAGGAAGGTTTCTGAGCAATGTGCGTAAAAATTTATTGACGATGAGCATGATTCTACATGAATTTCTGGTGCTGGCAAAATTTTTGTCCTCTAAATCACGTTTTTGTATGATCAAATTCACCTGACAATCATGAATACTCAGTTTGTTTCCCCCCTTGTGCGGGTCCCACTGGTAGGACCAATTTTTTGGAGTCGGGATTTCAGGACAGTCCCATTATTCTCTTTCTATGCCAGCTTTTCTAGTTGTTAGTAAAACAGATTGGAAGAGATATAAAACATTCTGAATCCGTTCTGCCATGAACAACTTAGAAGACAAATTGAATCCACTCCCAGAAAATAGAC